ACCTAAATTTCGTACATAAATTCCGCAAAATTCAGATGTGTTTTGATGAAATTACATGAGACTTGTAAACTTATGTCTCAGGGTGTCGGTGTGTGTGGCGGTGCTGGCAATCTTTACGAGTTAAAGTTCTAAGTAACGCAGTAACTGTTATGGGCAGGCGGTGGCTTACTACCAGGCGCACGACTTGCTCTTCCCGTCACTTGGTATTTTGAATCCACGGATTTGAATCCAGTGCCTGTGCATGAGAGGCGATAGGTTTTAATAAATAAGAATATTGATCCTTAATTAGTAATAGAAAGATCGAACATTCAGAAAAAAATCCTTCGATCCGGCCGGATTCGAACCGACGTCTTCTAGCATACCGTGTAAGACGCTATTCCAACTAAGCCACGGAACGAACCAGCGGACCTCACGAATTTTTCTTCTTGTTGTCTTATCTTTGTATTTGGTTTTTTCAACGATTTTTTAGCGTTTATATAAAACAATTGAATATCAATTCAATAAAATTTAAATATTGATCCTTAATTAATGAAACATTTTGGTTCATTATAATATGAGTGGTAACGAGCGAGTGGGTGTAATTAAGATATGACCACAGATCGCGTGCATCCAGGCTAAATTCAACGCCACACGCAACTCGTTGTTCAGCCTGGGCCAAAAATAACCCACAAGTCTCGGCCTGCGGGCCCCACACGTCACAACTACAACACTTTGGTAATCGATTAATCGATTACCCGAAAAAGAATTACAAAATATGGTGACACTTGCTATTTTCAGCAGTGTATTTTCGTACAAGTCCTATCTTAAAGCACTGAAGCATATTAATTAGGGTCACGTATACTTAGCTATATGAGCCAGCAGACACTTAAAAACATTGACTTTAAACAAGTAAGCCGTTCGAGATACTTGACGGAATCAATCACAAGCTTATTAACATGGTTGTTGCAAATAATTGCTCTTAAAAGACTCAAGATTTGTTACAAGAAAACAATTATTAATACAAAGATCGAATACTTAGAAAAAATTAGTAGCAGTAGAGCTCCTTGTGAAAGAATTCATCCAGTGAAGTACTGCCACCTTACCTATTTCTGCCGCCAAGCAGTAATTGTGTTCCGGTTTTGAAGGGTAAGGGTGCTAGTGAAGTTACAGGCACATGGGACTTGTCAACAAATGTTTCAGAGTGACGGGCGCAGTGGCAGTGCCCCTCAGATCTTTGCGATTTAAATCTGTGAGTAGCACCACAACTGTTATGGACAGGCATAGCTTACCATCAGACGCACAACTTGTACGTCCCGTCACTTGATATGATACAAAAAAAAATCCTTCGTTCTTGTTTTTTAATTGTTCGATGTTTGTATTAATAATTATAACAAACCAGTGGAGTAATTTCACAAAAAATAACTGAATGTCATGTTTGTGAAACATGACAAACAAAACAAGTTACATGGTCACCATTGTTCAGTAGAGTATGTAGTTTGAGAGCAGATTCTACAACTACATCTAATTCACCATTAATTACTCTTTCATGTGATCAAAGAGCCTATCGGAAAGAAAACCGCATTTCGTAGACAAAACGTAGACTGCGGTACCACCCTTATTTTGTGGCTATTTCAAGGATTCCCATTAATAATAATAATTAATAATAATAATTCCACATTAATAAATTTTATTTTTTATAATGTTTCATGACAGTTACTGTTTCATAACAGTTGCAGTAGTGTTACAAGGAGCTCTACTGCTACATTTATATGGCGAACGGCTATGGAGTGGAATTCCCTGCCTGCAGACTTGTTCCCTGAACGGTATAACTTGGACCTTTTCAAGGCAATAGTGAATAGGCATTATTTAAGTATGCATGCTCCATTATCGACCTGATCGTCGCTTTCCGTCAGGTGAGATGCATGATTTGAAGTGAGAGTACGAACAATTCGTATGCCTGATAGTAAGCGACACGCATGTCAATAACAGTGGCAGTCCACTGAGATCTTTAAATCGCAAAGATCTGAGGGGTACCGTCACTGCGCCCGTCACCCTAAGTTGACAAGTCCCAAGTACCCTTCAAAACCGGCAGAAATAGATAAGGTGGCAGTAATTCCCTGGTTCATACTTTACACAAGAAGCTCTACTACTGCCAGGTCAAATGCGCTATATCTTTATATACTCGTATAAAAAAAACCTTTCAATAAATCAGGAACAAATCCACTACACCCTCGACGACGACAGAGGCCAGGCCATAATTAACCCCATCGAAATCAATTACAACAAATCTACTAACACTCTGTTTTTCCTCGAATCCTAAAGCCGTTTTTGTGCCAATAAAACTTAATTCGCCATTGAACTGTCGGTAGGTCTTTGATATACACTGAAAAACATTAACTTTAATCAAGTTAGCCAATCAAGATTGCTTAAAATGGTTACTGCAAACATTTTGCATGATACACTCGAGAACATGTTACAAGAAAATAAAAAACATCTTGTTCAATCCATTGACTTACAAATAAATGGACGACGGGTCTAATACAAAAACCACGAAAAAAATGTCCCAAGTCAACCTATTTAAACGTAGTGACATGTAAAGGAGTATGAAAAAGGTAAAACGTTGAATTTAAATTGTAATGTCATCGCAGTACTGTCTAATTTTGCTTGCTTCGCTGTCAGTCGAACAAACGAAGACTAAAGCGTGAATGACGCTCTGTATACGATTTTAACGCCCTATAAGTTCGGACACTTTTTAGCGCGGACCCGACGTCCATATAGTTGTAATGGTTCAATCACATTGTTTTCATTTTTCAGCGTAACCGATATTTTTGTGCAAGTTAATCTTTCAGTAAACTCAACATAATAGTAGTTTATGTGACTGTTACATAATGAAAAGCATTAAAATACGAGTGTGGGTTTCAGAAACATCACACGAGTATTATATTGTTTAATTATGTACAGTTACATACACTGCTTTATCTATACACATATTATAAGCTCTCTATACCTATTATAGTACTGTACACAGAACTATACTCACTTTCAAAAAAAGAACGTCGTATTTGTCCCATTTAAAATATCAATTAGGACGCTACTCAAACGCTCTAATGCCTCCTGATTGGTTAAATTGGCCTAAAAGTCTTGCAACCGGGATATAAATATTTATAAAAAAAATATTAGCTAAAATATATACGGTACTTGGCCAGGTATATTCTATTACTTCTGTTTTTTGTTTTGTAGCGTTTATTTGGCTTTCCTCTAAATATATAAAGAAGCTGTGCGATAGAACCTTTGCCTACCCTAATAAATGAATTAAAATTTATTAAAAAAAAATACGTTTGTTGTCATGCATTGTCAACAAGATATACATTAAATATTGGTTCTATTTCAATATTATATTTACTCGTAAAAAAGTATTGTATGCAATCATTATTAGGTGTTTAAATCTCTGAATCCCTCATTATGCAACGTTATACAAAATACTATTAATGTTGTCGTCCCGCTATTGCTGCCGAAGGTGGATACATCAGAACAGATGATAGATAATACACACATCGAGTTCTAACTTTTGAAGTACAGGAATGAACTAATAATAGCTAAGTAATAGATTCCAGGGCGCAGGGGAGTTTACTCTGATTTCATTAATAGGTCAATGAGTCTACATCCCAATGAAGTTGGGCATTCCATCTGTTAACTTATCCAATCGATTCGATGTAGAAAGGAACCAATGAATAATCACCGCACTTAATTAAGATGTTCCTTTATTCCTTTATTTTTAATATAATAACACGACCCCGTCCGAAGGCTCTCGCCGTCACACTTAGTGTTGTCAATTCTTTTTTTTTAATTCAGTAACCAAACAAAATCGACAACATTTTTTTTAATGGTAATTATTGTAAGTAGTGCTAAGCGTTTAAAAGTAAATAATAGATTCAATAATAGGTTTTTCCAACACATCTGGTCTGGATCTTATGGCATCCATGATTTTTGATTTTTCCTATTTCCCTTTTTGGATGTACATTGGCCTATGTAAGAAAATTTTTTAAATGGAAATGAAAGTATTGTGTCGGTCCTAAATGGGGTATTTTTGTTTTTTCAAACAAACCAATGTTTCAGGATTTACCATCTCAGTCGGCCGTGACCATGCGACCCGTAAAGAGCCCAAAACGCTGGTTTGTTTGAAAAAACAAATGTACGAGATATGGATGCGAAAAAATACTTTCATTTCCAATCGTGAAAACCTAAAAACTCGATAAGAAATTTCAAATTTAAGCTATGGAGAGTTTACTAGAGCGACCGACCTTAGCTTTCGAATTTAAGAAAAACCGGTAGCCGGTATAAAATATTTATCTAAAGTATCTCTAAAGGACCTTGATCGAAGAGGAGCTGCGTTTCCAAGGACAAGGGCTCAATAACGTTGTATATACATACTTAGATTGTTTGGGTAGACAAAATATCACACTCGTATGTCTAATACTGCAATAGCATACTAGTCAAGACAATTAAAATGGCATATTTGTTTTAAATCAATCGTGACAGCCATATTATAACTGATCGCATAATCAATTGTATTTAAAATTTTAATCCTTCAATAACAACTTTGACTGCCTCTTTGGCCGAACAGTTACCATGCTGGTCTGCCACGCGAAGGTTCAGGGTTCGATACATTAATTTCTCTGGTCAATTTGGGTGTAATTTGTGGTTGTCTTATGTGTGTCCATGGCACCCGCGAAACAGGTTTTCCCCAGTGCGGGGCCATGAGTGCGTGCTTTTAAAAAAAAATAAAATCATCCATATTAAATAAATAACTATCTATCATTACATGCTATACATTGGTTACGTCAGTGGCAGAAAATAGGCATCAAAAGAATATTGTTGTAATGAAAAAGGTAAATAGTGTCTATTACGAAATTTTAGCAGCACCGAAGTAGGGCTGGATTTCAATCTATTAATATATAAACTGACAGGTAGCGGTCAATTGTCACTACATGGTTTACTGAGGACTCGACGTCACGACTTACATTCCATAAGTATCCCGGATAGGTGGCTCAAGCGATCATCCTTACACTTTTCACTTCATAAACACCGTAGTTAGCACTTGCCAATAGGAAGGGTTTCGGTTTGCGTTATCAGTACAACGTCACTGCAGTGCTACGAAACTGCGATGCTACGCCCGACGGTGGCGACGCCTGGCGGGCGACTGCGGTGCGGAGGGTCCCGACCTCACGCATGCGCTCTAGCGAGGGATGAGTTCTCTTTATGGTGTCAAACCTCTTTTCTATACGCAATACTTATAATATTCGGTGACTGATTTGATTTTAACATACTAAGTAGATATTATGTAAACGAAAAGAGCTTTGAAACAATGGATCTTTGTATGAAATTGTTCATTGTACATAAAGTACATAAAGGCGCAGGTAAGCATTATAAACAATGTAATAAAGAAGTAGTTCCTTTGTCCGTTAATTACACAGCCACAGTAAACAAAACACGATTGTCCGAAAACCCGCCGGTTTCATTTCCGCGAAAAGTTCCTCTGAGAAACACACTACTATGTTAAGGCATTATTAATTTTCAGGAAAATAGTAGGTACTACGTAACGTGTTCGTTTTAAATTTTAAAAAGTAGGGTAAATTCGAACATTTTTTTAGGATACCAAGAAGCGTGCGCTTGGTGGTAAGTAACACGCCTATCTATGATAATTGCAGTGCCACTCAGAGCTTTAAATCACAAAGATCTTGAGGACACAGCCAATGCGCCCGTCATCCTGAGACATGCGTTTACAGTTCATTGTGCCTGTAATTTCACTAGCATGTCTTCTAGATTAAATATATTTATCAAGAATTAAAAGCAAACATTATTAATAAAAGATCTGTTAACTCTAGTTTACCTTGACGTGACATGAATCACTGGCATAACGCGTCTGTAGCCACGTTGAAGCGACAACGCTGCTTTGAGTCCAGTCAGTTTAGTAGCAGTTGAGCTCCATGTGAAAGAGTTCGTCCAGGGAATTACTGCTTTACCTATTTCTGCCGCCAAGCGTTACTGCATTCCGGTTTGGAAGGGTAATGGTGCTGGTGAAATTACAAGCACATGGGACTTGTCAACTTACGCCTCAGACGAAGACGGGCGCAGTGGAAGTGCCCCTAAGATCTTTGCGATTAAAAGCTCTATGTGGCACTGCAACTGGATATGGATAGGCACTTATTCGTCCCGTCACTTGGTATTATACAAAATTGAAAAATTCCGATGAAAGGAATTTTCCTTTATGTTTTTCTTTCTATCAATCGATGTAATATTAACAAAATAGAGGAGTATTTTATATAATTGTCATGTTATAAATGTCATGTTATATAATTGTATATAATGATGGTTAAAAACATCATGACATTCAATAAAAATAATAGTTCAATCAAGGTAATCTTGATGTATATCTAATAAATATAAATTATACTTTATAATTAATTTTGACAATATAGAAGATGAAAGACGAGAAACTCACATTTTATCTTACTCTCTCTACTCTCTTGATTGATTTACTAAATACAAATTTGCTTATATCTAAACTTTGTTACTGTTGTTGTTGTTCACGCCTTGTAGTTTCATACAGGAGAGAAAGATTAAAATAATTTAATTAAATAATCCCAATTGCCATCACAAGATTGCCAAGATTAAGTTTAGGTATATAATCATTAAGGTAGAGGTACATTTAAATACATTTTTATGCTTTCCGCTTAGTTCTTAGGTTTTCGCGACAGCTGAAACTGTTGTTTCGGATTTAAAGCGTCTAAAATTGCTGAAGACTGCTTTTTTTTATTGAATAATTCATGAAAACTCGAGTACAACATCGTCGAACATTTTTATTTAAATTTGCCGTGGCATATAGGAAAATTTTAAACCCAAAAAAATATGTAAATGAGAATATTTTTTCGGATCTAAAATTCGTATAAGTATTCGAAGTATAAGTTTCAAACGTTTTTGTGAGCCGAATTATAAGAAATGGTCACGGTTAACTGCTTTTTGGGACCTGTAAAGAGCTTTCGAGCTTTTGTTGTGTAGTTGTTGGTTTATTTGTATAAATAGAATCTACGAATTTAGGGATTCAAATGCAAATGAATGTTTATTTTCTTAGAAAAGTCATAATGATGAACACTTTATGTATATACCTGTGTAATTTAAGTATGTATTTCTTGTAATCAAACTTACCTAAAAGCAATGTTAGTTTCATTTCCCGTTTTCCGACCACTTTCCAAGTTTATGCAAATTATTATTTTTAAGTCCATTATGCCAGATTCACCGCTTCCATTGGGTTTTTCTAAATTTCGATGTTGTTTTGACGTCACTAAAGTCACTGTCCATTGTTTTCGTGCTTTGCTTTTGCAGTTAACTAACGAACAATACGAGCTTTAAAGGCGAATTGTCTGTTGGCAAGGTTTCTCTCGCAAGATCCTACACATTTACAGAACAAATATTAGAAATCGTCAATTTCATGTATGCCTAAACCTTATTTTACGACCTAGGTGACCTAGCAGAACACCATGGGCGCTTTTCTAAATTGGTCCTGGTGTGCAGTGCCGGCTTAACCTATGTTGCAGGGCGGCTCGCGTGACTTGATCAAAATGCCCAAATTTGCGTTGTGCTGTTCTCGACGGCAGCGGCGTGGGCGGCGGTCACGCTGCCGCCGTCGCGTAGTGAATACGCGTTAGAACAGTCGTAGTGTTGTTCTATTGTTATTTACCTACAATTAGTATTATATTTCGATCAATCAAGTTGAGATGTCGTTGGAAGAAATAGTTTTAGCAGTTTTAGAAAGACCACTATCATGGAATAGCAAATAATTATATCACCCATGATAATATTTAAACTTAATATTCAATATTTACTATTCGTTCATCATTAAAGTCGGATACCAATTCTGGCTTGATATCTTCAAGAATATAGTAAAACATCTCCACAGTCATTCTAACGTAATTATAGAGCTTCTCCGGATTTTGTTTTTGATGTTCGTAATTTCGGTGAAACTCGCCAATTTTGTTTTCTTTGTTTGTAGTACGGCTTCAAGTCTTCGATTGCCTACAATAACTTACATTTATTATAAGAACTACCATAAAAAGGTCACCCCGCAGTATCGTCATCGCGCGCATACTTTCGTCATGCCCCTTCACCGCCGCACACCGAGCGACCTGATCGCTGGCTTCGAGAACAACAGCAACAAGGATGCCGCCCACATCGCTGTCGGCACCGTGCCGCCGGGTCGCTGTCGTCCAGTGTACAGCCTTAGGGGGCGCTGAGCGTCTTTTACGACGCCTTCAATAGCCTGTGTCGCTTGTACAGTCCATTTTGATCACGTGTCTACTATGGACTAGCACAAGCGTTGCTCCTCTGGGTTTTCCGAGTAATACGGAGTTAATATTTTTTTAACGCACACACTCATTGCCCCGCGTTACGGAAACCCAGTATCGCGAGTGCCACATATAGACAACCACAAATTACACCCAAACTCACGAGAGAAATAAATGTAGGCCATACAAATATTTCTCACGGCCCGGGAATCCTACTAGGGACCTCTGCGTGGCTACTGCCATGCATGCCTGGTGCCACCGCATGGCGATCGTCCGGCCACAGAGGCAGTTATTGTTTGTCCTGGTTTGAGACAATGCAATTTGGTGTTGTTGTCTGGAACATTATTATATTATTATTTTTATCTCGATCAATTATTTTATTTAACAAATAGCTGATTAAAATTTGAACGAAGGTCTCCTCGTAATACCAAGTACAACAAAAACTTAATTAACGGACTACTTAACCACTTTTGTCAGCCTTGAGAAAGATAGTTTTAAATATTTGATGTTGACTCGAGACCAAATTAACTCCATTTACAGACAGACAACTCCCTTAAGCTTTAACGAAAGTCTATCTTATTATTTATTTATTATAAATATCTTATTAATATTATATATAATTTTGAGTACATGAAATATAGAATTAAGGTGCTATTCCACCAACGAGGCGAGATAAGACGAGGCGATACGAGGATTAAAATTTGTATAGCGAAGTTTCAATTTTCTCCTAGCGCATCTACAATGGAAATGGTCTGTATTGACGAGGCGAGAATTGAAATATTTGTTGGTGGAATATTGAACCGTATTGCTGCTTACATAGTTACTAGCTCTGTAACATAATCTCGCGATACCTCGTGCTCGTGAAGGTTATTTATATTTCATTGCGATAACAAGTTATTATCATATCGGTTTCTATCGTCATACGTTTGCTTCAACCTAATCACCACTCCAGAACAAGTTTGCTCCACCAAAATCAAATAATCTTTATTTCAAAGGTAAGCAAACTACACTTGAAGTCGTCATAATGATTTAATTCTACTCCTCATTCGTAAGGCAGATTCCCCTGAGAAGAATGAGCAAGAAACTTTAGGGGTTGCTCTTTGTAGATATACATTTATCATTAGAATATTTAATTTAAACATCTTAGATCGAGAATACCTGAAAGAGCTAAAATTGTTACATAGTTTTTGTTTCACAATAGTTTTAAATCGGTCATCAGCCCTTCTGCAGACATGACGGGCTCACTGCCACTTGATAACAGGATCAGTATTAAGATCGCACTCAAGTCAAGTGTCATTATTAATAATACCTCTGACATAATATAAATAATTGATTACGCGTCATTGTCACAATTTTCGCTTATTACTAAACGTCGGCCAGCACTTAGGCTACGGTTCAAGATTATTAAGTCGTAATCAATGAAGTACTGGGAGTTGATTTGGGATGACATCATCCAAAAGTGTCGATGATTATAATTTTATACGAGAGAGGTTGAAATGCATCGAGAGAGTGCGAGCAAACCGTTGGGTGACAGCGCAATGAAATTTATACCTTCAAATAAAAGCCTTAAATGTACATTGATATAGTATATTATTGCAGAGGCCGGGAAGTAAGGTATTGTTGGACGAGTATGAGATACAAGGACGAGCGACAGTGAGGCCTTGTATTCATACGAATCAAGCAATCCCCGTTCCCGCCGAGGTATGT